TTCAAAAGTTGTATTATTGATCCGAATCTTTAAATGTGAGATAAGAAGTCTTGAATCAACACTCTCTACAACCGATCATTAATAGACCCAACAATTAACACGCATTAACCTCTTACAAGCCGGCCTGCAGTAAAGTGGCTTGGGTTATTGTAATACTGTTATTACAACAGTTATTCTGTTTTGTCAATAAATACAATAATATTTGATAATTGCTCCTACCCTATCCCATATCGAGGCCAGAACAGGCAATCACATGGCGCCCGCCTACTGAAAAAGTGTTTGCCATCGTGAAATTAATATTACCATATTCGGGCAAACTTGAGATAAATGATATGCGTTTAAGCTAGCAATGACTAAAAAACTGCGCAGGAGAGATAGACTGAGGCTGCAAATTTAACTATTTACGAGGATTGTGAAAATAATTGCACCGGATTTAAGTTTAAAAGTGAAGGCTCACCAAGTCTTGTGACAGTTACATTACCACATATCTCATAAGCTAGTACTAATTTTTTAAAAGTATAAGGAATGACTAATTAATGGATCAATAACCAAATGCACACACGGACGTACCAAGCACGAAATGCAAATCGCGCGCAAAATAACAAAAAGTGCTTAATCATAAATTGTTATTATAAACTGTGATTTCAAATTCATAGCGATAAGTTTAAATGAATCCGGCCAAATTAAACCAACTAGTTTGATCAAAAACTTTGAACAAAGGATCACAGGCTGATTACTGATAAGTTTGATAATTGAATTGCGTAAATGGGCTATTTATATTGAAATTTTGCTTGACAACGGAAAAATCTACTCGATTGTAAAACGTATAAATAATCTCGCGATAAATGTTTACTAAAGTCAAACTAATAAAAGCAACTTGAAGATGATGTGCATTCATCTATAACTAAAAAGACGAAATAGTCATGGATTTGATCTAATTGCAATTAAAAGGTAAGAAATAGAAGGACTTACAGCTGTCAAACCAGAGGAAAAGTTAAATTGAAGAGATTTTAAGGGCGTTTCATTCTGTTGAAGTTTAACTTTGTTGGCAATACAGTGAAAATTGTACCGGAGTTGTGGGGTATTTATGAACTACTCTTAGAATTCATTTCATCTTCGCAGCGAAGAAATAGATCAAATCAATTTGGAAGCAGAAGAAAGCCTACAGCTAGAATTAGCACGATTTAGAGTACTGAGAAGTTGTACCGCATCTGTCTTTAGAGTTTCGGATTGTTGGAAGATATGAAGCACCCAGATTTGCAGTCGGTGCAAGTCAACTTAAATTGGCTTAAGGTTAGAACTCTTTATTTCACCACGCCATATTTTGGTGTACTGTCGCATAATTGAATTTTTTAAATAAAAAACAAAGAGAAAGACACGACATCACATGCTTTAACAATTAATTATGTGATCTGCTATGATATTATGACCCTGAAATAAAAAAATAGGTGATAAAAAAGTTGAGAGAAGTAACCTCATGCCCCCAACTTTTTGGGGTCAGAATGAGACACATGTTAGCATGGTTTCCACTTTACTTCTCTTTCAATTAATTAAGTGATCTGCTATGATATTATGACCCTGAAATAAAATAATGGGTGAGAAAAAAGTTGAGAGAAGTAACCTCATGCCCCCAACTTTTTGGGGTCAGAATGAGACACATGTTAGCATGGTTTCCACTTTGCTTCTCTTTCAATTAATTAAAAAAAGAGCGTATAATTACTTGCTATTAAGAGTAAAAAGGTCTAAACTTCTTTTCACTTGTCCACATAAGCACCCACTCACACCCAATGCCACTTTAGACATCTGGCGGGATCGTAAAAGCCCTTCAAGGCTCTATTATCATCGGAATATTTTTTCCACCTTCAAAAATAATCACAATCATCATTCTCACTGACATCAGATAAAATGAATTCACATTATTTTCCCATTGAAAATGAAATTAAAAGAGGCTTGAATTTATCGTAATTCAATCTGTTCGGAGTAGCTGATCACGCTTCACTCTTTGGAGAAGCGTTTAAAAACCACATATAGACAGTTTTATGATCCTGATCAAGCATTTGCCTATTTGACTTGCTCTTGGTTTACTTTGTTAATTAATGCCTTGGGCGAACTAAATGCTGGTCAAACTAGCGCCATCTCTATTGGGTTTTATGAGTTTGTTGCCAATAAATAACAAAATACCTTGTCAAATAATCAGCTTATTTTAGAAACCCTATTCCACCATAATAAATAAGCCCGCATCATTTAGTCGGATTTACTGCAGATTTCATTCGATGCCTAGGAGAAAACACTACACCCACATTTGGCCAAAATAGCAGGTGTTTTCGGCACGAACTTATTTTAAGAAGAAACTAAATTCATTTAGCAAAAATTTCGCTAGTGAAAGTCTACTGTACAAAGGTGCATTTTATAGGCATATAATAGCATATTCTGCGCATCTAGGTGCAAACGAGCTGTCATTGATTTGTGCCAGTCAGTTTTTCCTTATTCAACGAAAACAGAAATTATCTACTTATTCAATTTGGAATTTGCATATTTTTATGAGTGTTAAGAAAGAATGTAGCAAATGCATAGCTCCATCACATCAGCCAACTAATTATTCCAACAGATTACCACATGTGGCGAATTTCTTTTAATGCATTACAACGAAAATATAAACTAATTATCGAACCGAACATTATGTGATAATATAATCAAAATAAGCAGGTAAAAAGTGAAAATTAGTTTAAACAGATGAATAGTACAGATTTACTATGGAGTTTGTACTTATTTTCAAACGACAAACGAGACTCTACGATGCGTTAGTAGTTGCAAGAAATTAACTGAGATTTGTGACAGAGCATACAAAGACAAATCTTCTAGAAAAGCACTTAGAGAAAGCGTGCGTAAATGCACATACACACACACACACCGAGACGCGAATTACTACACACACAGAATGAGAAATAAAACAAGAGTCCGTTTATTATATGTATTCACTATACCGTGTAGACTAGGATGCTCGCGTAAACATATCTTGGGTGTATTAACCAAAGTCACCCAGTTACAATTACCAACTAATCATCCACCAAGGTAGTCACAAATACATGAGAGCCTAACGAATCACGCATTGACCACGTGACCCTTAATCTAACCCCTCCTGGTATTGAAACAATGTGCACTCTAAAGAATGCTTAAGACCAAATGATCTTATATTCACTTCCAAATAGCCAATAAAATCAATTGACCTTGATGGTAACTAATCGATAAAGATGTGGGCAAACACGAACTTTCGCAGAGAAATCATTGACACATTGTACTACCACTCTCCTTTGGAAATATCGGCTTGAAAAAAACGCAATAAACTCCAACTGGATTCAAAATTGTTCGTGAAAATGTTTACAAAATTTGATTTGGATCGCATGTTTATAAGTCGGTATGAACTTCCTTTAGTGGTTCTAACTGTTAGTTTCTTACTCAATCTTCCACCTATTGCAATGAAATACGATACAATGACAACCGCATCGCCAAGCGTATAAAAATGACTAGGAAAAATTAGCAAATTACATGATATTATCCCACAGGAAAAAATAGTAATTGTGAATAGGTAAACACTTAACGCAACTAATTAGCTACTTATATAGAAGATTTGTGAAACAATTAATTGAAGCGAAAAAAATCTTTCAAATTACAACTTAAACATCAGCAAGTAAATATGATCTTCTAGATTAATAGGGTTGATTGGTTTTATATTCGACGACAGACGATTAACGTTGATTCGGAGTAACAACATTTAACCCAACCGACAAGAAAAATAGTGTAAAGGAAAGCACACAATTGAAAATAAACAGATTTCAAAAGTGAAAAACACACGCCCTTCAAAGAGGAAATTTCGTAATAATTAAACAATTTGTCAATTGCGAACTGCCGAAGCGAAAAGGAACTTTTGACTAGTGTGACCTTAGTAAAGTGTGTCAATAATACAGTTAGCGCAAAGCTAGCATTCTCCACACAAAAGTGCATTATGCAATTATTAAGGCCAAATGGCAGCCTTTCAAAACAACTGGCCCATTAAACTAAATCTAAGCACTGAAATACTTCACTTTAGGTAAAAGTGATGAATTATTTGACTTCAAATCAATACAAGATTATGCAAATGTGGTACTTATGGCAACGCCCAAAAACTTTGTAACAATGATAGACAAAGAGTACAAAGTAGTGCCGATTTATAATCACTCTATTAGGCACCGAGGTTCAACACATCCGATGAAAGTCGTGTAACACCCCAATACAGCAAATTGTGCTAAAAGAATCTAAGGTATTTCAAACGATTACCATTAGCCCTCTGCAACAAATGAGGTCTATTCCTGTACCCTGAGAAAGCTAGTAAAAATGGTGTTAACTATAAGAAAAAACAGAAAGCGAAACAGTTATTGGTAAATAGATATTTTATAAATGTACAGACGAACAGTATATTTTCAAAGGCAGAAATAAAATCTTTGAAGCAATTAGTGGGAGTTTAAATTGATATATAGTGGCACAAACGGATTTCTTGTGGCTTACGGCATTTAGGTTTTAGCCCCGTAATCCTATGATCCGGTTTTTTCTGAAGCCGTAGCCAAATCACGCAGCAATAAATTAGAATACTATTCTGCATATATTTTTCCTCCAACATATTTAATCTTTCATTTTTCGAGAGTAAGTCACACAGGTTAGAAATGATGCCTATTAACATGGTATTAACTCCAATTGTGCTCAATTTCTTAGTACAGAAATGGAGAAGAAAGAGTAGCATAGATAGTAAGTTGAAAAGGTGGGGGAGATGGGGAGAGACTATCACGCGAAAAAAATGTGTGCGGATGGTCTCGGTTTCAATTTATAGACATTGACAAAGCATCTACACATTATATATACAATTTAAAAGGAGATGAATGAACAAGAGGTTAAACAAGGCAAGTAAATGCTATGAGTATTTACATGAGAAAAGCCAGATTCAAGAACACCCAGGCAGACAAGTCACATTAAACCCGATTTGAAAGGCGTTTCAAAGATCCCGTATGCACTGTTGACTTATTCGATTGTTGCTGCTGCTTCCCTTTCATCCCTTTCTTAGCGGTCATTGTTTTCATAGGCATGGGATTTGGGGAAGCCATCAAAGCTTTATCATGTTCTGGACTAATCGAATCCATTCCACAAACTGGTGACTTGAAAGATGACCAGGCTTTGGAGTTAGAAACCTTCTCCTTGTTGTTGGAGCTTTCCAGGGAGTGCAATTGAGAACATCTTCTCTTAGTCTTTCGAACAGAATGAACGGAGCTAGATCCGACTTCCTCTGTCTCTTCATTGCTGGAAATATAAGATCCATTTGTACGTGAAGAAGAGAAAGAATTTACTGGATGAGAAACTCGCTGTTCTGAAGAGCTAGGAATGTTGGAATCAACTCCCGGAATCGAGCATCGATTTTTCCTTAAATTTCTTCGTTTCCGTTGTCCAGATTTCCTTGTCTGGGAAGAAGGGAGTGGAGATTGGGGTGATTCAGCGTCCATAATCTGACTCCCTCCATTACAATTTTTTGATTTTGTACTAGAAGCTGACGAGGAAGAAGGCAACATAGAAAGGGAAGAGAACCGGCAGGAAGAATTCAAATCGTGATTTTCATGAACGCAGGAGACATTTTGTTCCGATGAGTATAATCGCAGTGGAGCCAATCGTTTTACTAGATTTGAACAAGTAATCGAGACAGAGGCTGAACGACAAGTCCTGCAAAAAGAAAATCAAAAAACGTTAAAGGTTGATTAGGTGTCGAGAATTACTTTGATTCTGCTTTATGCGTACATCAAAAACACGTTATATAATCGTTCTGGAAGCTAAAGTTAAAATAATATAGAGATAAATTAAGGATATTATTAGAGCATACAAGTTAAAATCGCAATATCATCCGCTGATAGGACATTCATTACTTAAATTTCGACAAAAAGAACAATGACTATAAAAATCCCCCTAATCTATCAAATTATTCACCGTTTCATACAAAAGATTCACGGATTACTGACAAATACGTACTTGTAATTCCTTTCGACGGTATCTACGTTTTGAGGAGGTTGGCAGTCCTCAGAGGATTCTCCACCCATACATGAGCTATTCAGCAATTCTGCATCCGAAATACCATCACAGTCATAGAGGCAGTCAGGCACATTTTGAGTTTCACTATCAGTGGAAGAAGCAGTTCCAGTACTTTGCTGTTGCTGATGCATAGGTGGATACGCTGCAGTGACTCCCCAATTGGCAAAAGAGGGTGGCAAAACGTGCTGTGGAAAGACTACGTAGACAGGGGGATTTGGTGAAGGCGAACCACTAGGTGTGGGATTGGGTTGGGGAGTAACAGGAAAGCATAGAGTGTCATAAAAAACTGGAGTGGGGAAAAATCCGTAGGGAGGATTTTGGGAAAGATAGAGCACATCACCATTATTTGGAGGCCGCAAAAAGGCAGGAGGGCGAGTGGTAAATCCACGAGCAGAAATGATAATTTGCTGCTCCTTCGGGGAGGATGCAGTGGAGGCAGCAACATTTTGATCAGCGGGAGCAGTGGATTCTAGAGATCGGGAAACAGTTGAAGGTTTTGATGACGAAACTAAATGCGGTGGCGATGGAAGAAGTGGTTTACGGTGGATTATATTCGGTACAACAAGCGATGGTAAGAGCTGAAATAATTCAAGAGCCCTTCGTTTTAGCTTATTTCGAGCTTCTATAGTGGACTAAAAAACAAAAAAGGCTCATTAACAACCAATTTTAGTCACTTGAAAACAAAACAACAAGATCATACCCGTTTAATGCATAGAATAGAAGATAAAATAGTATGGTTTTCATCACAATCAGTAGATAGCCTATCGCTTAAAACATCAAAAGCCGCACGAAATGTTTTGAAAACATTGAGGGCGGAATATGAGCGCCTAGCAACATTATTACCAGGACAAATAGGGTCATCAATAACTAGTGTAGAGGGAGACGAATAATCGCCTGGATTTTGTTTAATAGACTCCTTGGGAATAAATTGGCCAGAAGCTGATATTCCAGTAGTTTTATAGTTGAACTGGGTTCCATAGAAAAAAAGAAAGTCCATAAGTATAGATCCAAGGTTAGGTTCTTCCTTCGAGTTCTCCAAACCCTTATCCTATAAAATTACAATAAAAGTAACGAAATAAAATGACTGAACTTACTTTTAAGAAACTGGTGCACATAAGAACAAGTGCATAGGAACTAATACCGCCGGTAAAGACTTCATTTAGTTCGTGGTTTAGCAAAAATTGCTTGAGGGTGAATACTAAGTAGCGGAGAACTGGATAACAGCAAAGTTGACTTGTAACAAATCTGGCAGCTTCAAGACTATTCGTCGTGTTAAAACTAATATCTACTCTTAGGCCCGTTTCGATATCAGTGAATTTAACAATCGGCACGGTAGCCTTTGACAAAACCTTGATATCAGATGCGAAATTGCATGCTTGTAATGCTTTTTCAAGAGATCTTAGGGGTAAATTTTGCCATTTTCCGGATATTACAACATCAATATCACTAGTTGGAAGGTAGAGCCCGGTACTGAAGCTTCCAAACACGTCAAACTTAAAAGGCGATAATTAGAATATAAAAACAACTTACATAGCAATTTCGCCAAAGAGAAGTAATCAAATTACGCAATTTCGAAACGAGAACCTGACGAGCCCACTGTTCTTCGTGTGATGGGGAAATATAATTTCCAAAGTCCTTAATTTCCTCATGTAACCTAAAAACAATAAATACACAAACAGGCATACCCAATGATGCCAGGAGAGTATACAGTTCCTTCTGGTCGCCAAACAGGTTTTAACTTCTTAGTATTCTTTGAAACAAAATTAGTATCCTGTTCTTGAGTATTATTAGAAACTGAATCAACCATCTTATCACCGACTAGCAGAAACGTATTCAAAGGACTACGAAGGGATGTGCGGCAGCCCCAAATAATCGTGTCAGAACGAAAATTTCGCCAATTAAACTAACTAAACAAAATTATTAAAACGTGAAAATGTTATTTTACAGACTAATCTTATGAGCGTTTGCCTTGATAATTTTTTAATTTAATATAATGATATATTTACCTGTTTTGAATTAATTTTCTTTTCCGATGAAAACTGTTGCTATTTATATATATGTATATTTTTATATTATTACGACCAAGTCCAATATCGATATCTCTACTTTTAATGACTTATTTTTTTACAAATAATTTAAAAAAATATGTGATTAAATTGTTACTTTAGGTGGTCATGATCCTTTTAAATTTAAGTTGTAAATCGACATATTTTTATATATTATCAATAGATCACGTCCAATTTTTAGAAGCTCTCTCGTCTCAAGAAAATTTTATATATTCTTATATAATTCATGACTAAAGAATTATATGTTACGTTAAAGTAAAGCATCATGTATGTGTGTCAATGATTACTCATAAGTTGTATTTATATTTGTGATAGCTAATAGTGTTAAATATTATGAACCGTTATACTTATTTTTGACTTCTAAATTGATGGGAAAAGGTGGATAACCGTTTTTAGTTAAAATCTATTTATTTTAATTTAAGAAATTCCCGTAGCAATATTAATGCGACAATGTCTTTTCGAAAACTTCATTTTTCTTCATTTTCTCTTACCATTATTGGGTACTTTTAATTTTTGACCAATTTCTATCAATATTGATTATCCCTCTTTGATGATGATGGATTGTATTTAAATGATTGAAATTTAGCTCGATTAATAATATATATTAATAATTAATTGTTTCAAGCAGAGATAAATGATTTTAACTTTGAGTAAATTAAAAAGGAGGCGAAATATTGCAATAAAAGCGATCGCATTAGTTTAATATTCGTAACGCTTTAGTAACTTCAATTAACAACTAAATACTACTAAGAACCTCAAATGGCATACTCTACAGATTGCAAAATGATTTTCAACAATATATATATAAATTCCGATCAAGTAAATGAATGTATACATTTCTGTAAAGAATAACTCTAATCACAGACGCACTGCGCTAAGTAATTTAACTAGTGATTACAGAGTGAAATAATTGGGTTATAAAATAATCAAAATCAGAAACCGCTAATTTTGTATAATGAAATAATTCTTTATGCATTGCCCGTCAGAAATCTTTTAAAATTTTAGTTCATTTCGATTCTCAGCATTTCGTGTCTGTTTAAATCACCTATTACGAAACCTCAATGCTTACATATATTCAAATCTTCTTTTCGCAACTGCCTTGGTGTGCTTTTCCGTTATAGACTAGTACGCATATGTTCTCGTAATGGAATTTATACGGCTAAACTTCAAATGGCTTCTATTGAATTGTTTATTGAAACATTAATTAAAACATAGCTGCTTACAAATTATGATGTTATATAGAAAGATACTAAGTCGCTTTTGCGATTTGATTTTGGTTGCCTCATAGAGACAGAATGTGGAGTGCACAACTTTACCAAGGCTGATCAAAGTGCAGTAAAACATTCCAGAATGTGCACCGTATTACTTATCCTATGGCAGGCAAGAAGTGTGCTAGTATAGTGATCTCTCAACCAATCAGCTGTTTGTTTTTTTATGCTAATGCCTGTGACAATTCACCATATTTGCAGTAAACGCTACCCAATTCATACGCTGTCTCCTCGATACCATTGACACAGCTAAGATTAATGCAGATTGTAGCAATAGTACTTAATGTAATTATAGCACAAACACATTGACTAATCTTCGAACAGAAATTAATATCGATGTTGAGGTTAGGGTTGCAATGTTTGATCTTATATGTAAGTTCATGAAAACTTACTTAGCAAAGGTACTTGCGAGGCAAGGCGGGGTTCAAGCGAGTAGAAGGTCGTTGGTGTCAAAACAAATGGACACCTTGAAGAACAGTTCAGAGGCAGGAAGTGGAACGTGTCATAAATATATTGACAGTATGAACAAAACTACGTTAGTAGAAGACATCAGAATTTGGCTACTCACAGACGTGTGTGAGATAAAAGCGTCATAAGCAAAGAATGCATGAACGCGCTATCCTTTGGGATGTATGTTTTTTATTTGAAGAAACGAATAATGCTTATTCCACGAACGGCTTGTGAAATTAACTAGCCCCTCTAAAATGACACTAATGAGCTTCACAGAACCATACAATACTAGCTAAGAAACTATTCATTATGCTCATTGCTGCCGGTTTAATTAAACAAAATACTAGATATTTGGAAAGATTATAACACTCATCTTCGGAATAACATTGGAGAAAGTTGCTTTCATCACTTGGTTTACAGTAGTAGTATAAAAATCAGCCACGTTGTCAGTTAATTAGATAAAATATCCAATAATTCAATTACCCACAAGAATTTATAAGATTCAACAACAACGCGCTAAGACATACTAAGACACCGCCTGGTTAGATTAAATTTAGAAAATACTATTTGAGTCAATTGGAAGTGTAGTGGATTGATACTCAAGTAAGTCGACACATCCTCAATAATCTCTATGGCATGATTCTCAAGCACAGAAAGGCTCGCGAAGTTAGCTAATCTTCCTCCACGATATAGGGGAAACAGGTGTGGGACGGTCAAGTACGTTTATTTGTTCCTGTATCGCTGACACAAAGCGCTCTCATTGAATACAATATTGGCCGCAAACGTTCCCGTGGCCGCACCACGTCGTTCTTTCCAGAATGTCCTACCCACATGAGATTCTTTGCCTCAACAATGCTAGGTGTTGTGCTCCAATTAAGAGGTACCGGAAAAACAAAAGACAAAGTCAAAGTTGTTTTACTTTGTTATTTATAAAATAAATACTCTTAATGGACAATGAAAACACTCAGATGGATATAAGGTAGAAGAGCCGAAGATGGATCTAGAGAAAAAAAATGGAAATTCCATAAGTCTACTTTAAGTTCTGTCTCGTTCAAGACAAAGAAAAGGAACGAGGCACAATTCTGATTAATATAGGCAAGTTTACTCTATTAGGTAACGTAAGGATGGCACGTTAAAAAATTTCCAAAATGTTTGGGATGAAAAAATCAGCTGACGATTTCGGCGAGTTGAACAAAAGCTAGACAATAAGCAAATCGTTCCAACTTGACACGTTGATAGAAAAGATAGCGGATTCCCAGAGTAGCTTTGGCTGGACCCAATAACAGGTCAGCGGTCCAGAGGAGTTCTAGTAACCTGCGCAGCGATTGCCGCAAGGAATTATCATCACTTTGAAACCACCGTCGTTGTTGACGTAAACGACGGTAGAATTTCATTGCATGCAACTCTATTTCAGACCAAACCTCCCGAATACTCGTAGTAGATTCATCTGATTTGATGCAAATATTTGCCAACAATTCTGCAGGCAGCTAAAAATGAAGTATTTTTTTAAATAATGCAGCAAATAACAAAGATGAAAATGCTTTTGCCAAAAATTTATTTTGGGAAATTAATAAGGGAAATAGAGCAGGAACCTGATAAGGGAAAGAGGACTATATGCATAAACGGAAAGCACTCTTCAGTCATTTTCTGTATGAAAGCACGATGATTTTTCGACTTTATGTTCCGATGACTCAAACACCCCTATTTGTCATATCTGTTTTAGTCAACCCTCTCACACGCACTCAAATAATCACACGCGTCCTCACCGAGCGACTTTCTTGGAGACTGATGTTAACTATCATAAAGCCCACCATTTGATACAAGTAAATAATAAGGATGGAGATTATTAAAAATGGCAAAACAAGCACAAAACTGCTTCAAATATCTACTTAATGGCTTCCGAAATTTAAAGGTCCTGATTCATTCTCTCTGAATTTACCTACAACGCTGGCTTGCGATGCTCTTAGTGCCCATTGATCGCATTTTCAACTACCACTATTTCTTTCAATGATCGAGAGAGCAAAATATTCTCACAGAATACTCATAATCTAAAGCTCTTAACACAGCATAAAATTTATAGATAGCATAGCACTGTAAAATGCATTCATTCAAGGCCAATTCAGTTAGTCATAGCATTAAATCAATCATTTAGTCAAGCATATTTCCAATAAGGCTCTGCTTGAACAAATAGATAAGAAATGCAGTGATACTTACAGGAATAAGAGGAACGACTTCCCTGTACCGATCACCGGGCAGAATGCGTTTGAGAAGCTTGAGAAGACACCAAGTGTGGAGTATATCAGCAACTAGAATAGCAGGAGGTCGAAAAGAGGGATCACGGCGTAGACATGCTGTTAAAAGCCAGTCCATCACAATGGGTGCCTCTTTAGGAGTCGCTGGCAGCTGAGATTCTTCGTAGTCTTTGGAATTCAGCAATGTAACGTTTCTGGCGCTCTGGATAGCCAAGAAGAAGTCTAAGTAACGGGGTAAATGCCATCTTACCGCTACCAATAGTACTGCAAAAAATGTTAATAGGATGGGGGACACTTATCCCCCCCCCCAAGCAAACAATTATCAGCCAGTAAGAGAATGCCGGCAAAAAACCAGCCAACAATACTTTCAGTGGAAACACGGAGTTCTTGATAAGGCGTACATAAGCGGGGGGGGGGGGCTTAGGTTCTAGAAGTTCACCTCGTTCACAAATCCCCTTTAAATATCCCCCCCCCCCCGAAAATCGCACTTTATTAAAAAAGCAAGCAAATAAAATCAACGCAGCAGGCCTAATTGAAAAAGGTAGCAATTAAAATCATATGAGCACTTTCCGGAATCGTTTTCACAGACGTTGTAAAATTACAATACCACACAGCTGAACTAAATAATTTGATTATTTTTTTTCGCGAAGTTACCAAAAATAATGGAGCGGACAAGAGACAAAAGTGATGCAGCGAAGGAAACTGCTTTGAAATGTCTTCATACTACTTTAGGGGCTTCTTTTAAGACTAAGACGAAGGTAGGGAAGTCAAAGCAAAGTTCCACGTTTCGGCATCAACAGCTTCTAGTTAAATGGTGAATTGCGAAAGCAAATAAGGAGCCACCACTCTTGAACTATCGACGGAATCATTGTCTGGCGGATAACGACAACGAGAATTGGCGATAGTGTCCATTTTCAGACAGGTCAAGGTACCATAAAAGATAGGGGACGTCTAAACTCAAAACATATCAGAATATCATTCTTAATTTTGACACTTTATTCAATGACTCTTCAAAATAATTTCTGTATATGCTTCTGAGTTGAGAAGTGCCGAACTACTTCAAATTACATTTTATTTAAATTATGCTTACCTCTGAGAAGAAAGGATTGCTTTCACCAAACAGTTGGTAGACAATTGTGGCAGTGGCCCACAGATCCGAACGTTTGTACAAAGCGGCGGGAACACCATTTTCCTTGAAATGGTTTTCCTTCGCAAAGTACTCTGCCACTTCAGGAGCCCAGAGAGCAGAGTTGCCGCTATGTGAGCGGTTTTTTTCGTCTTCAAGAGCAGTATCAGTTTTGATTGCACATCCAAAGTCAGTCAAGGCCACACGATGACATGTGTTCGCCAACTTGGCTAGTTCATCTGAGGAAAAAGTGAAAATCGACACGATAGGAAAGACAATCCAACTCATTGAATAATTTATATACACCGACGCTCGTTTCGTACCACCTCGTCTGTTGGCCCTTGTTCCACCACATGTGTCCAATAAAAAATGTGATAATCTACTTCTAGGAAAGGCTGTTACAGTCTTTTGGAAGATCATTATTTTGGTTAAGCATGGTTATCAACAAGTTGCCGTTGACTTAATTGGATTCATGCAATAACGGGGGAAATATGTTAAAAACACAAACACTAATTTATATTTGTCACCTTGAGCAATTTGAAATGTGCATCAAAAAAGTAGATCGATTTGTGAAATATGGCGAAAACATGTCAAATTATCACCTAATCATTGTAAAGCATTTGTATTAAATTGAAGGCGGAGAGTTTAATGATTTGCCTATTCGTGGCCAAATTGAATATTCTGTATAATATATATTGGGTTGGCAACTAAGTCATTGCCGTTTTTGT